GGTGATGCCGACATTTTTCTGCACAGGATGTTGTAGAATCTCTGATCTCATTTCTCATGTCGAGTTCTTTGATAAACTTAAAGTCGAGAAAAATTCTGGGGAGACATCATCCGTTACGATTTCTTTATTGTTAAATTTAAAATAAAAAAATTTTGCATTTTATTTTGTATTTTATTTGCAGTTTCTGGTAATGGAGCTTTTTATAAAAATTTCTGTGTTTTGTCTAATCTCTTTTAAATTAGTTTCGCTGCTGTTTTAGAAGTAAAAGTTCATTATTTTCTCGAGAAACTGCACTTGTATTTTGCATCTTGCGGTATATTGATTTTTTTCACAGTATACATCATCTATTTCTAACGCGAAGAAATTCAATCTCGATAGGAAAAAATGTTCTATATAAAGAAGAATAAATCGACGGCTCAAGTATATATTTGGACGCGCGGCATACGCGCAGTCAATATCGGAGTAACGCATTTTTTTATTATCCTATACGCAATAAAACATAATATTTGTATGATGTAGAGAGGCAGGTATTTCCGACATATTCGAAAAATTATCATTGATAGTGGTAAAGGAAGCTTTTCCATCTTTTCATCTCCGAAATACGTCTCTTGAAGTACATATAGATCAATAAATCACCGCGCTTTCTATCTCCGACGATCTTTAATTCCACATATAGAGTATCAAGTTTATCTCAGATTGCCTTATGTAGCATTTTCTTTACCTGGATAGATTTTGACATCTCGATCAACATGCATCTTTGAACATCTATACCTTTTTACTCATTTCAAATTACTTTCAAGTGATTTATATAAAACAGACATAAAATTCATAGATTGTTGTGGAATTTTGGAGCGCATAATAATTTATACAGATATCATAAGATTATATTAACTATAATTGATGCCTATTTAATAAAATTAAGAAAAGAATGATTAAAGAATGATCAATGCAAGTGAATAATTCACATGTCGAGAAACTGTATAAATGATTTGTCATTTTATTACTTTAATTCCTGTCTTATTCAACGTATTTTATTTTGATATTTATTGATATACTTGTATTGATATACAGAGTATTTTTGTACATCATGTTTGCATTTGCTCAACATTTCAGATTTTTTAACAAAGCCATTTTATTCAGAGCTTAGCGTTTTACATTGAATATTTTCACAATAAAATCTCGGGAAAAGATACAAAAGGACTTTCTAAGAAAAATTCAGAAAAGAAAGCACCTATCACGTGAATTCCACCATACATGTATACGTAACACAATCTAGAAAATGCAGAGCGTTAAAAATTTATAAACCAAATATTTTCCGGGCAAGGCACGCGCCGTTCCTGCTCGTCTCACTTTTACACGTAAATACTTTATAGGGCATAAAAAGCTCACAGCAACCGCGGTTAACTGCAAATTATTAAGAGTTCTGCAGTGGCAGGGGGATGAGTAATCGGGACCAAGAGGGGGCTCCTGAAGAAAAAGGGCAGATTAGAAAGCATGAGAAAGCCTCGATAGAGGGAAAGTTGTGGCAATGCGATACGAGAGGGAATGCGAAAGAGAGAAGGGTGCTGGTGGAAGTAGACTGACGGTGTGGTCGTGAGGGGGTGGTGGCGTGGAAAGGTCGCTCGCTGCGACGCTGTGCGAGAGGGCGGATGTCAGTCCACGTTCGAGCGGCCACCGGTATGGCCGTGTCAACGGATCGGTTCGCGTTTCTTCGCCACCCTTTGTGATTTTACGACAAAAGTTGGACAAAGGTTGGATAAATCGCGAGGTCTAAGACGTGCGATCGTAGACTAAAAGAGAGAAAGTGCAGAAACGAAGCGTAGAGTCGACTCACAATCAGTGAGATGACCATTGGTGCGGTGCAGCGTATCGTTAATCACTCGTTGGATGTATCGCTCGAAAGAGCTTCCTGATTGATCAATATTTAGTATCGATTTGAAATTGAATAGCGATTATCTTTTGATGCACGTATATCGGAGAGGAAACCGGTATCCGTTCTGTATAATTTTATATCTATAATAGTGTCAGTTTTTTCAACGTGATGAAAAGATTCTTCTTGCGAAAAGATTGATTAGTGAAATTATTGCCAATACACACACGACAGGATTATAAATCTATCACATATTGTCAATATTTATCATGCACGATGACGAAAAGTATATTAATTTTGCAAATATGCATCGTTTTTTTTCATTTGACAACGTTTTATCATCGTATATTTAGTAATTGTTAAGATCAGAGTTTATAAATATCGATAATTTAAAGAGATTTCTTAGAGAGTTTACAATTATAATAGATTGGATTAATTTGTCAACATACATATGTTCATTTATTGTTAGATATGATTAGATTACGTCTTGATAAGGAAGTGTATCTGGAAATGTATGTATATTCTTACCGCGATCTTATCGCGATTTACTTTGGCTAAGTCAAGGAATCACAGAAATATGTTCACGTGTTTTGCGCGAGTTTGTTCAGCTCAATACGGCATGTATACCGCGTGATCGTTAACTTGCTATTTAGCAAACTGAATGTAAGAATCCTTCCTGATTCATTCGTAAACCACGCTCTTAAATTCTTTTTATGAAATTTTATACAAACTATTTATTTCATTTTCTCTTAAAATCTAATTAATGAAGATTGACAATTACATTTCTTCGTCCGATCATACCTAGACCCGTTCTACTACGAGTTTCTGATGAACGATACTTAGATTCATTCATTTTTTTTTATTGTTAGAAAATATCATTTTTAGAATGAAATAATGTTTATTAAGATTAAATTTTATTTTAATACAAATGAATGGAAAAACGCCATATTCGATTAAAATAAATTGTTATGCATAATAATATAATTTAATATCTATAAACGCGAAGATTCGTCTTAACCGAATATAGAGTTTTCCATTTATTTGTGTTTAACATTTCATCGGTCGATTTACTTAATATTGTTTGTTAATTGACAATTTATGACTTTATTGTATTAAATTTGAAAAATTTGTATTGAAGTAGGTATGTAAATGATCTCATGTGTCTGTATAGACATGCTAAAACTTCAAATCGTTGTATGTTTCACTTGACTAATTATATATTTGATGAAACTATATATCTTTTATTTTATTTACTTTTTAATTAAATTTTTATTTATATTAAATTTTTATTTTATATTTTTATTTATATTTTTATCTCTAATTAATTGCTAATGATTTACAATGTAAACAAAGTTATTTCATACTTTTTATTGAATAAAATTAGGTATTTATTTTGTATTTTTCTTGCAATTTTAAAATAAATTAATTATATTCTCTGTATTTTTTGTACAATATGATTTATAAGCTTGAGTTTCCAAAATTCTAAGTGCAAAATTAACGTCTACATTGGAAAGTGGAAAAATGCGAGGTATTTAAATCTTTTAGCGTCGGAGAAAATGAGATCACGGTAAATTTATTACGACACCTTTTTAAGGTTTCTAAAGATCAAGAAAATGCTTGTACCATTTAATTTATTTTTTTGTGTGGAGGAAAAGTATTCTTGTTACTGTGATGATATTTCGACGTTATATTCTTCGTTCTTTATCAAAAGAATATAAAAATGTTATCCGACATAATAATAAATGAAGAATTATGAATAGAGATTGAAAACGTTATCAGTATAAAATCTTTTTTTTATTTATGAAGATAGCATGAGTAAATCTGGAAAAGCTTTTGAGAATACATATATTACAGCATTGATTTCAAATGTACAATATATTTATCTATCAAAAATAAAAAGGTCTTTGCACTGCTGATATAAACGATATGAAAAAGAAATGATTGGTACGTGCATTCTTGAACTGTTCTTTCTACTTCGTCTTATGGAATTTCCTTCATTGAACTTTTCTTAGCAGGGTAGTCGGCGGATAAACTTTCACGTTTCCCTTGCATTTCTCGAAGTACTGAACAGAATTTGTCGAATTTGTTATACGCTCTTGCGTGCGAAGAAAATACATGAAAGCCTTCGTTCCTCGAAAAGGAGAGACTACATTCTTTCCGGAATCATCTTTCGGATTTCAACAAATAGACAAGAACCGCCAAATGATTTTTTTTGTGATAACAAAGCTAATAAAACTTTTCATTACTTGCGATTCAATGCTAGAAAATAAAAAGCGCAATCATGTAGATTTTTTTCTTCAAGATCTAGCTTTTATAGAGCTTAGGAAATGTCTTCATTTCCGGAAAAAGCTTCTCATGAACTTCATCAGTTTCGCTTTGCTCGCTATGTTTTAAAGTGTTTAAAGAATGGAATCTTTTTTATTATCTTTGTGCAGAGAATAAAGTTTTAAGAGTGTGCTGTTGTTTTTGAATGCATTATTTGCAAGTTTTAAGAGTGATTACGCTTGTAAATAAGTATTTGGTTATTTACATTTTCATATCATTATGTAGTAATTTTTATATCAATCCATAAATATAATAATAAAAATAAACGGTATTAATGGGAATGTAATCTTGTACGTGAAATATAAAATTTGATCTTTGAGCGATAAATCACATCTTACAAACAACATTTTTTTTTCTGCAAATAGCTTGCAAAGAAAATGATTTTGATTAAAATGCTTTTTTCCTTGCCCGTGATAAAAAAGTTTTATCTTTCTTTTTGAAGCTCTGATAGCAATATCTTTGTTATCGTAGAACTTTTTTGGATCCTTTTACGACACGGAACGTTTTTCATTTTTATTTCGCGCTGTAACTTGAATTTGCACGAACAGTTTGTAGAATGAGTTTGTAATATGAGTATAAAAACTTTTCATTCAATATTACATACAACTTCCAATTTTTCTATTTGAGATCATATAAAAAATTCATGTTTGTGCAAGTATTTTACATTTGCTTAAAATATCTTCCTACATAACGAAAATTTAATGCTCATATATGTAAAGGGAAGGAGAAACTAATTAGCGTAAATATTTTGTATCTTAAACTGCAAGTACGCGAGAATAGTGTAAAACAGTATTTATGCTAATTATTCATTGTAAGCATTGTATATTCCATGAAATACATAATAAAATAAATGTGCTTGTTAATAAAAAGCAATTACAAATGCCACATTTTTAAGATAAATTTTACATTTTTATTTTAAAATGATCTCATGATCATTTTCTTGATATGCTAACGAAGATAATATTAGCAAAAACACTTAAGAAGCTAAGAACATTTTTCACAAAAATCGATACGGTAGAACAAAAAAAATAATCAGTGAAATAATAGCTTTAATAAAGCAGGATTGTAACAACAAACCGATTGGTTCCCTCTCGCTCTTTACAATGACGATGATCGAAATCTATGAACGATCAGTCGTTTTTGTTGGTGAAATACGTATCTATGGCAAATACTAAAGCTGCCAAGATCGCGAAAGAACCAGCCGCTACCGTTTGATCGCTGTATTCCTGCAGATACGCGTGAATCAGATTACTCGAAAAATTGTCCCAGTCGCGAATCAGAATGAGGCCGGCGGTGCAACAGAGAATCGCGCCCATCGTCGAAAAAATAAGAGCCTGCAAGAGAAAAGAGTGAAAAACAATACCTTGTCGATAATATATTATTTAATATGATATTGCATCGTCATATGTTAAGGTCAGATACATGAAAATTGCGACAGAGAGAAGAAAAGTTAAATTTTGTAAGGTGGAATTTTTTTTTCAAGTAACGCGAAAAAGAATATATAACGAAATAATAATACACGTATAACTCTGCGTTTGATTTTCAGTGTATTTTGTAAATTTTCCGCGTGAAACATAAAAGTTAGGGAATTTCAACTTTTTTCAAGATTCCTCGTTTTCAATCGTTTCGTTGGCAATCATAGATAGATTTTATAGATGTCGATTAATAGATTTGTTGCGAATAACGTAATATTTTGGTTTTTAACTCACGGTTTTTTTAGGCAATCTTTCGCCTAAGAGATGGCTCATAATAAGAACTGCATTTATGAAAATATAACCACACACTGCCACGTGAAATATCGCTATGTGATGTATATCATTTGGTCGAAACTGATTCTGTTGAAATGGTCCTGTCACTAATCCCGTTGCAATGACACAGAGAACCTGTAACGCATTCAATTATTATATTTTGTACAAAAAAAGGACTTGGTAGAAACATTCGAAATAAACAATCTCCTAAAACAAATGCGTTTCTAACTCAAGTCATAATATAACGATATTTCAGTTATATTTAACAGAAAAATCAGCTTTACAACTATTATAAAATTCTTTGATATAATAAGATATCTTATCCTTATTGTTTTTCACTGAATCTAAAAACTGATAATCATATTAAAGAATCTTTCAGCAGTTGCAAAGATGCTTTTTTTTGCTGGACGCAATTATTGCTCTTAAAAACGTTAGATCGTTCACATAATATATTTTGAAATATGAGAATTGTTTATTGTTAAATCGGACATAATAATGAATTATTTTTGAGCGATTTTACCAATTCGATAATTTTGCAAAAGAACGGCGCTTCTTTAAGATATCCCTTCATTCTCGTGAGGAGGCTGGGTCTAGAGCTGGTCTCCTCAGCCATTTTCAAATCACACTTTGTAGTACTTTTGTCAGCTCAGATACGCGCAAATATAATCACGACAAAAAAAATATTCGCCGAGACATTCGAAGTGTGATGACGTCTGTTTCCAACTACGCTGAGAAACGCCCCAACTATTGACCTGTCAGTAGCTAGTGTGACACTGACTAACATTAAACCGACTAAAGTCCCCACTTCCTCGCTAAATACATTTAATGCGTAAGTGACAATAGTTCTTGGTACTCAACCTTGGCGGTGGGTCTGAGATGATCTGTGCTTCATATCTTTCAAGATGGGCCTTATCATCGCGAAATATAAAACGATCTTTCACTGCCAAATTGATTATGCTCGATAATAGTTTCAGATGGACAGTTTATTAATTTAAAAATAAACTTGTGTAGCGAGTCATTTTTTGATTTGCGTCAATAAAACATAGCAATTGTTATTAGTGAATCTATTCTGGCAATCTAGAATAAGGATGTACGTTCTCGTAAAATTTTATTACGATATAATATTAAGGATGCAAGAAAGAGAGAGAGAGAGAGAGATAAATCCGAAAGTAGTCTAATCCGACCAAGAATTACTTCGTAAAAGTACCTACCGTTGGAAATTCGGCGGAGGAAACTTTGTCGCGCGACAAAAACTTCTGTCGAGTTTCATGATGGTGTAAAAAATAAAAGAGTAGTTATTGGCTAAAGTGGCGAGTAGAGAAATGCAGCGAATAATTTTGCATTTCATTGCATCGCGCTCAGATTGTTGCAGACGACTCCTCGTACGATGAGTGCTATTGAGATATTGAATCACCCTTCGGATCATAGTGTTTGAATTCGACGAGAAATGCTGAGAGAAGATAGAAACTATTCATTCGTTGTCAATTCCAAGCATTCCTCTCGAATTTATTTAAACTATTATCTTGGAATTAAATAAGATGTTTTGACGTACCGATTCAACAATTATATACTTATTTTCAATCGAGATTGCACACAGGAGGAATTATTTTACTCATTTTGCCGGTATCGTTGTGTACGCGAATTTACTATTTTCGCAAGAAAAAAATCATTTTTGTTTTACACAAAAAAAGAAGTTTTAAATTATTTCGGGGCTTTTAATAAATCTTACAGAAAATTACGGGTCTATAAACATCGATTCTAACAGAGAAGAGCTTTTGTTTTACAACCGTGGAAAATGCATCCTTGCGATTTTAAAAGTATATTATCCGCATCTTTTACCGGATAGGAACCACGCACGAAAATATACTCGACATGTACTTGCGCTATCCACCCACGTTCATCTCATTGCTGCACTCGGTCACTCACTTAATTTATCATAACTCTTTCCGAGTTCACTTCTCCAGCCACCGCTTCGCCTTCTTGTCCTCCCCTCGTCACTTTTCTTCTTCTTTCCAACCATTAACGAATTCCCTACTTGCTTCCATTACGCGTCGTCTTTCTCTTTCCCCGTTCTTCGGCTTCTTCTTTGACATGTCTCGCAAGTTTCATTAGGTCGACGCTGACAAGAGACGTTACATCGTAGAAAATTCAATATGTCTAGCGAATTTTTGAAATTCAATCGCAAAGCGAATTTACGAAGAATCTTTTCTTTCGCGTACTATTTGATTGCAATAAACATCGCTAAATATATATGTTTTCCTATAGGTTTTCGTATTTATTTTCTTTGTGCTTATTTCATATATATAACAGATATATTATATAATTTGACATTATCGTTTTATTTCACTCATCTCCTCTTTTTCTATTGCTTATCTCAATTTTTGCTTCTCTTAATAAATGAGTTTCGTGTCATTTACAATGCATTTCGCAAAACTGAACATAAAAGTTTTTAATCTATCGTTAGGAAAGATCCGATAATTGTATTCATATCATATTTTTTCAATTGAATATATGCAATGTAGCAACATAAAGTGCATAATAAAATGCATAATAAAATATATAAAATTTATAATTATCTTTTTTTATTTTGATAAAAATCGTATGAAAATACGTAAATTCACAGATAATAAACAGAAGGATATATGAAACAATTTATTGAAATCAAACAATTTTAAGTTATTTTCGATGGAAAAGCATAAATTTTACTCAGAGTTATTATGAATAAGAAAAGTTTAATATCAATTCTTCTTAATTAATTAATTAAATTAATTTTTTTTATAAAAATAAATTTGAAGTAAAGAATTAAAAAAAATGGTTTTATTCTGTTGTAAATCTCTATAAATTCTCTATACTATACAGTTTGAATTCTATCTCATGGCTTCACTAAATTATGTCATTTTTACAAAGGCTTGTTGTGTAGAGCGCTGCTGCAACTCATGTTAATAAAAATCGAACTTGTCGCCGCAATGTTCACCTCCTTTTCATAAATCTACTTCTACTTTAATTAAACGTCCATGTAAATTTTGTCGTCGCGCGTATCCGCATTTAATAATACCGTGATAACAACGACGAATTTGACAATCGTTCAATTCTCGTTAAACGAACGCGAACCATATTGCCAGGTGGCTCTGCGATAAAGCCGATCTCTGAAAAGCGGGTGAAATCTCCCCGCCCGCTAATTAGAGCTTTCACTCCGCTTATGGCCGGGCAACCTATATTTTTCAACCTATATATTTTTCGCGGCACAATCGATGAGCGACCGCAATTTTCTCTGTCAAATCTCCCGTTCCTCGACAAGGTCGATAAGTCACACGTGACGCGGAATTTTATGAAGTACGTGCGATCGCGACCTCAAACGCAATCGAAGTGTTCGACGAAAATGTATCCTCGGGATGTGTAGATCCGGAATATGCTACGTATTTACCAATAAAGAAAATAAGCACGACTTTTCCATCGTATTTTAAAGACAGTCACTGTCAAGATGCCAGTTTCACTCATGTGAAAAGTACTTATGTTGAAAGAGAAGAAATTTGTTAGTTGAGTCTTATATATTTTTAATAGTGAGAAGAGAGAAAGAGCTCAAGAGAGCGCATTCGGAAAACAGATATATATACTCGTTGCCAATCTTAATCTGCATCAGTCTTACAATTAGTGAAAAAGAGTTTTTCGAACGTAGGCACAATGAAAATAACATTATATTAAATCGCGGATGAAATTTAACTAAAAGACGAATCGTAATTTATCAAATACAATTTATATTCTTCGTGCTTAATATGTATATGGTTAAAAACCGGTTGTGCTGGTTCAATATTGCTGGCGTAACGATTTATACATCGCTGAGAGGTAAAGGGAGCATAAAGAGATTAGAAAAGTTGACGATCATTAATTTGTACAACATTCGAAAGACGAATATCATTCTTGTCATCTGGCTAATTATTCACATCGGTTCCGATTTCTAAGAAGAGTTTTGTATAGCGAACGCATCTAATACCTTATCATTCGTTATTATCTTCGCTTTCATCTGATCGAACGCGATTCTATTTAGCACGACAATCTAGATTTTTTTATAGTGTGGTTATGTTCACGTTAACATAATATGTGTGATTGTGAATGTGATTTTTAGACTATACTGTCAATGATATTTGCTTTTGTCGTCCACACGCCCATAAAACCAGCTGACTGACGTCCCTATTTCACATCGGTAATGGCAATTTGTACTTTCGCGATACACTATTGCTACACGCAATTACTCTTCATCTCCAATAGGATAATCTCAATAGGATAAAGTGTTTACTTTTACTCTTGCATACATGTATATGTATCGCAATTCCGAATGGAGACGATAATCAATCCACATATTTCGATTGTCACATAGATTAGCGTTGCAACGTGTAATTTTCTCTAGAGAAACTAATCTGTTAATTGTTTTATTTATCACGTTTAGTAATAATTTGTTATCATAATAATACTGTACTGTGTATGTTATCAAAGGTTTATGCACTCATTTATTAGAAATTTAAAACTTATCTGATCTGTGATAGTTTCTCGAAGAAGCATATATAATTTTATATATTTCATCGATTTTCAATGAATTTTATTCGAGACATAATATTCAAAATTACGAGATTTTATTTTAAAGAAATCTATAACTGAGAGTAATGTATTTATATAAAATTGAAGTATTTTTTTATTGTAGTAGAACATTGCAGATTTTGAAGAGAATTAAAAATTTCAGTAGTCCTCATTTCTGTTACATGTGCATTAGATGTTTAATTATGAAATTAATTGCTTTTATTTGTACTACGTTTATGAAAGAGATTTAATATTTTTCATTTGAAATACACGTGAAATACAGTATTACAAACTTCTAAAGAGATTAAATTTTTGAAGCAATTATAAAAGTTTATTATTAATAATAATGAATAATTACTATAATTATCAATTTATAATAATTAAAACTATAAGATAAGAAATATAATAATTTATTCTTATACCCTTTTCTCTCTCTTTTTACTAGTCTCACTCTCTCTTTACTAGATATCTACAGTTATCGATTAGTGCGAATTGCAGTGTGCGTGATACAGATGCAGCCACATAAAGTGATGACTTAAGTCTTAATCGCACGTTTCTCGACGGTAATGTCTTAGCGAAGAACGCTTTTCACGGATATGTTTGCAATGTTCGTGTAATCCGACGAGGAACATTCGCCTTAATCTCCTAGATTTCATGGTGTGCGTGAAAACCTGATTTCATTATCCATTGTCGACACAAGTTTTCTCTGTTGACCTCGCTGACCTCGCCGTAGGAATGTGTAACGTATCGACATCTATCAGGATTAAATCGCGCGATTAGCGATTTATAAACTGAGTTGTTTAATAGAATGACGTGCGTGGAGATTATCGAAAACAGAAACTATTAAATAAAACTTTAACATTATTACACAATAAATGTAACGAAACACGAGTAATAAAAGTCTAACTGAATTCCACATCAAGAAGCATCATTTTATGCGAAGCTAATTAGCATATTAATTGCATCTGTTAAAACGTGACGCAATTATTCGCATTTTCAACATTATTACAAGTTTGGTTTCTGTGTTTTGTTTAATAATTTCTCGCATAATATTAACATTATTGTGTACGAATTTACGACACGATTGAAATGTCTGCTCTGTGGCTAACAGCTGTTAACGATCTGATATGAGCAATACTCAGAATTGTTTCCATAATACGCAGTGTTCTCGGTTATCTCATCGCACGAATTCTCGTTGCGGCAAATACCGGCAAAATTC